GGCCGCGGCGGCGGAGCGCGTAGCGGCCGAGGTGCAGAGAGATGCCGAGGCGGTGGAAGCTGCTGCGGATGAGGTCCTCCCCCTGGGTGGTGGGAATTGAAGGGTCTGAAAGATCGCAAAAGCTGCTGCTTTGGACGTTGACTTGTTGATTCACAGAAGCAAAGCCAAACATAATAATATCCCTCATGGATAAGGATACAAGAAAAGGATTCCTCTAACTTAGTCTCACTGCCCTTGGCATCCCCTCGCGCGATTGAGGTCCTCCTCCTGTTTCATTAGCAGCATTGGAAGCGCCAACAAATGCCGCGCCCGCGGGAGGGGGTCCGTCAAATAGGCGGTCTGGCGGTCCGGTCGCGGCCCGAGCGGCCCGAGCGCTCTATATGCGAAGCACTTTTGACAAAACACTTGAGAAAAGGGGGGTGGACGAAAGATCGCTAAGATCCTAAGCTAAAGCTTATCAAACTCAAGGTTACCGAGCAACCTTCCGTGATGACACTCAAAACACGCACCCCACGCATTGAGAAGTAAACCCAGACTAGCTCTCAGACTAGGTTGGAGGCCATTGCTATTAGGTTGGGGTTGGAGGCCATCGCTTCTAGGTTGGAGGTCATCGCTGCTAGGTAGGAGGCAATCGACGATGGCCTAAGTTCGAGCCCATCCCTTCTAGGCAGCGTGGCGTTGAAAAAGGGTGCTTCACAGAGAACGCCCCCCAGGTGGGCACCGGTGTTTGGGCAGCGCATGGAATCCATGCCCCAAAATCCTGGAAGTCAAACCCCTGGTTAATTGGTTGTGTGGTGGTGCAAGGTGCGCAGATCTGGCAAACACCTGCGGACCTAGCTGTTGCTGTCCGGCTCAGGACTTTACGAAAGAGGGTCACTCTAGCAGCACTGTCGCTTTTAGTATCCTTTGGTTTGGACGTCTTCGATAGGATCTGCTCGGGAGGGACACCAGCTAATGCCGCCAGCAATCAAGAGCAATCGAAGTTGGTTTCGGAAGAGACCTTCGAAAGTAAACATGATCCTGCGAACCACTAGCCAGGGGGATCCGTACCTCTGCCATCTACATCTATGGATGATATATATATATATATATATTCAGGGATCCAAATACCTCTCAGATGGTACTTGGACCCTCCATGCTTATGCAGCTTATGTAAACAGATCTCTAATCACCTTCTCAAAGGCTATTTGGATCGGGTCAATGAACCCGGCACGTGAGTGCGATCTCGTGGTCATCAAGATCCTTCAGTTGCATCAACACGAAGTCACATTACAGGGTTTCAGAGTAGATGGCACAAACCCCTACATGTCTTTTAGATGGGGGTCCATATATACACTACCTTTTGGGGATTGTATGGGATTGTGCCATCTACTCTGAAACCACTGTAGGTCTCCTTTCCTACCTTGTTCCTCTTCCACTGAAAAACCCAACGACTGAATTCGCAGCTCAGTTCGGCAGCGAAGGAAAAGCGCCTTGGAATACTTCTGCTTCTGCTCCTCCGCCTTCTGCGCCATGGGTTTCTTAATCTGTCGGATCATAAGACCACGTATATATGGCCACACCTCCGCCTGTTGCGCAGCGCGCAGACGTCGCTGGAGTCGCTGGTGGCTTTAGCCTTCCGTGATGTTACGTAGTTTCCCCAGAACCGAACAAATGCCAACCCAGACGCTCCAAACAGGCCTTGGTCCCTCAAAACCATAGGGATTGGTTCGGGTCCGGACCCCTCCATATGAGGGTAGGGCCCTTACTGAACGCAGGGTCCAGGGGAGCGTCTGGGAACACCCAATCGCACAAATCCGAGATGTTTTACTACAACGCATTGTCATATATGGCTATATACCTTCAAATGCTTCCGCAAAGCTCAAGCCCCTCAGCTTCTTACATGCACCCAATCAAATTGATCGTCCTCGCAACCTTGATCAATCCGGTGGTTAATCATCCATTGAAGGTCGAAGTGGCAATCCTTTCATAATCCTTTACACTTTATGGTGGTCCCCAAATAGAGAGTGGCACTGCTTCCAATACATTTTTAGTGGGGATCTGCGAACTTCTATCTGTTTGGGGGTCCAAAAACACTGCTGCTGGTGATTCCTTCGGCCAACCGTCATGCAAAACGATGACCATAAGTGAGTGCCCCTTGGCCACCATGATTTAAAATGCTGAATGACTCACCAGAATAGTCACAGTACCAAACTGATGACCAAAATGGTCCAACAAAAAATGATCCACAACTACCTGGTGCGCGCACAAAAGTTCCAGCAAATGTGCGTTCTCCTTGAGACTTCGTGGCAGGCAGAGCGTGGCATGGTCGACAGATGACCGGGGCCCAGGAAGACGTGATGACCGGGGCACTGCGCGCGCGGACGACGGGTGACCCGTGTGACTACGGGTTACTGTTATAGAGAAGAAGAGGCGTAGCGGCAGTGGGGTCAAAGGTTTTTGACGATACAAGACTGATTCAGACTGACTATGCCCCTTTCTTGTGTGGAAGCCTGTTTGGCCAGTGTGTTTAAGCACAAAATAGTGAGAGAGGTAACAACAGCAACAAAGGAACCTGAAAAGCATATTTGTTGGTGATGAGTATTGGTAGTTCTTCCTATTGTTGTCGTTCTTGTTTTTTTGCGCTGGAGGAGGAGCCTTTCGGTTGCCATTGCTGGAGCCACCAAGTACGTTTACATGCTGTGCACATGTCACCACAGCGGGGTGCCCTTGGGTTGTTCAAGGCTCTTGCACGTTGTTCGGCGGCGTCGTAGCAGTCCGTGGTTCGATCCATGGCCTTTGGGTCCGCGGGGAGAAGCTTAGCTTCGTTGGGAAGAAGATGGGACAGGGGAGGATTAGGGGGATGAGATGATAGCTGTTGCTGTTTTTTCTGTTGCTACCGTCCTTGCCGTGGCTGCTAGAAGCCTTTGGATTGCCTGTGGAAAGAAAGGAGGCCGAGATGCCACGATGGTGCAATTCCTAGAGAGAACTCGTGTGCTTTCGCCTGGCATCTCCCCCAAGCGTTTCGATCTCGAACCCATCCTTTACACTACCACTGCCTCACCACCGGTCGCCCAGCAGCCCAACCCACGTAGGTCATCGCCTGGACCATCGGCCAGTGCCGCTGCAGGACCGAGCTTAGTTCCGCCGCGGCCTCGCTGACAGCCTCCCGCAGCAAGGGGTTGCCGTCCCGGCCTCGTCGTCACGTGACTCGTCGCGGTGAACCGTGTGTCGCGCGGCGAGTTCAAGAGATCAGGTGACAGAGAAAGCACGGGGAAGTGCAAATCCAACATAGAACAACACCATTTGGAATGGTGTTGTTTGTCTTTGGCCTGCACTTTGTTCAGCTTGAAACACAATTGACTTCGACTGATTGCCAGAAGTTTCAATTCATTACCAGTGTTCCGAACGCATGGCCCAATGGCCATGAACATGCGTGGAGCTTCAAGCTGTTCTTCCAAACCTGGAGCTCCGGACTCTGCTGAAAACGGTCGCTTCCCTCCGGTCGGGTCTGGTCCCAGGTCGACCGGTGGACATCGGGATGGTTCCGCTCCAGCCGGTGGGGAGAGCACCAGGTTCTCCTAAGTGTTTCGAGTGGAAACACCTCGAAACCTGGCCCGGAAGGGAGCGAGCTCCCAGCTCCCAGCTCTTGTCCACCAGATGTGATCGTTTAAGGATTCCAAGACTATGAGCTTGGCCAACAAGTGATGTTCCGGAAACTAGTCTAAGCAAGTCTTGAAGGCGGTAGTTGCTCTTCAACTTCACACCGCCTTCACATCCCTACAACATCAAGGACTAAGATGTGAGAATTACTACCATGCTTTCAAGGTCAAAATGAGGTCCTCCTCCACCCATGTGTGCATCAGTCGGTAAGAGATACAGCAAATATCAAGCTGGCGCTGCGCAACACGACAACCCCAACGATCGGGTTTTTAAGGGATTTCCCCAACGATCACCACCAGCCCGGTCGTTCCAGCCCTTCCTCCCGGCCGAATCGACACAACGAAATCGGGGCAGAAGCGAACCGTCAGGGGATGGTCCGAGTGATTCGTCCCCCAGAGGTGCTGAGCATGGTGGATGGTCCAAAAACCAGATGTCAGTTCAAATCGCTGGTGAAAAATAGTCCAAATCGCCCCTACATAACTGCATGAACTGCCCCCCCCGCCTGGAGCCAAGCGTGTAGCAGAGCATTTCACAAACAAAGTCAAGATCAAGAAGGCGCGCCACATGGCCAACTGGAGGTCTGCTGAAAGGCTGGGGTTTCTTTCCATTATTCCTTTCTTCTTTTTGTCTAGTTTTGGAAACGAGCCAAAACAGGAATACCAACACTCCTAAACTTTGAACCGGTCATGGAAAGGGAACCTACTACAGTCCCCTCATGTTTCACAGACTTCCCTCTGTCCATCCAGGCAGCTTTGAGCCTCCAGCGCCAAGTGCAACCAGACCTACCCTTCCCAAAAGCCTCAAAACGCATCGCATCAAAACCCAAATAATGTCAAATCATGTCAAATCTCTAGTGGTCCGCATGACCGAATGGGAGTCATGAGCCCCAACACCTGCACATTGGTCTCTACGGGTCTTGCGAAAATCTTGAGCCACAGCCATGGTTCTTTCCTGGTCCTTCACTTGAACCTTCAAAACAAGTTTGTGGGGAGTTGATCCTTTTCTTCGTTTTTTGGGTTATCAAATGGAAAACTGCTATTACCCTTCTACTGCAACTGGACCCACAAACCTGAAAGCCAAAGTCCCCCAGTCTCTTCACCCATTCATTCCCATTGGCAAAACCGCCCTTGTTGGGTCGATCGCCTTGAACTTGGCGGACGCACCCCGATGAACTGAGCTGCACCAGTCGCCTCACGACGACAGCGACTCGGCGCCGCGTCCAACCCTCGTGTACCACACATGGGAAGTGAGGCCCTTTTTTTTGTTCCTGGTGACCCACGTGTACCCCAGTTGCTAACATGATGCATGGTCGCTTTAAAGTTTTTGGAGTACATACCCCTATAGAAACGACATGAAACGACTATCCATGTGTTGTTTTGGATCTGAGTTTAATTGATGGCCCATACAAATCTTTCTGGAACCTCATCTGCCCTGTAGTCAAGGCCATGACCTGCCTTGGCAAACCTGTATCAGTTGCATTGCACAAAAATGCGGTGCACTCCCACATGGAATCAAAGCGAAGCTCACAACGGACCTGTGCTTGACTCACTCCAATGGCCATGGCCATGGTGGTAAACCACTAACCAGAACTCTGCACGTTGCAGAGCTGGGGATTCAGCAAATTAACAGTAGGTCACAATGAAAAGGGTGTTTAGACCTGATTGGAGCTGCTTTTGAGAAAAAAAGTGTGCAAAAAAACGAAAAGAAACGGGGCCAATCAGCCTAGAGTCGTTTCATGTCGTTTCATTGCTCAAGTTGTATCAACAGTCATATCAACAGCCTGCTGTCACTGAGTGTCACTCCTTTCGCGTCAGCGATGCCGTTCTTGGACCAAGAAAGGACGGAACGTGTCCCGTGGATCACTTCGCGTCTCACCGATCGCAAATCCCGGAGCTCTCCACCCGACGCGAGCGGCGGTGGACCGACTGGGCTGGTCAGGTCGTCCATTCTGTTCATGTTTGGGATGGGAAACCCAGGGTGGTCCACCGGAGCCACTGACCCACAGCCATATGCCATATGCGATGTCGCACTGACCTGACCAGCAACCACACCGACTTGCCCCCTGGCCACGCGACGTGAATCACTGCGCAGTCTGCACTGTGGTGACTGGTTTGTAGACCAAAGACTAAAGACTCTCTTGCTTTGCTGTGCTCAGGTTGGCCTCTCACTTTTGATGCACGCCTTTTGATGCCGTTTGCACACCTCTGAACTGGAACTGGCCATTGTTCAAAAAGGAAAGCACAGATGTTGATCAGCACCGCGGAAAGCGACAGAGTCGATCCAGGTGAAACCGGAAACCACAAGCTTGATTCTAAAGGTATAAAGATTATATACAGCAAAGTAAGTAAAAACAAACATCACGTGTTTGCCTTCTCGACTCTTTTTTGTGCTGTCCCACTCTTTGAACAACCCATTGATTGCCTTCACCGTGCAGTTCTATATGCCTTCGACTCGAATGGCGCCAACTCCAGCATGTGCGGACTCCAAAGCGGCTCAGAACTGCAAGTCTTGGCGGAGTCCTGTTAGCGTTGATCACTTCAAGTCGGCCTTGGCGACGAGGAAAGGCACCTCAGCCAACCATCGAACAGGAGCCGAGCCAACCGAGCGTCGCTAGATGACATCCCAAAGTCCGAAAGAGGTCTTCTCCTGCCTGAGGGGATGCGGTTTGCAAAATCCTGCAAAACTTGTTGCAGCTGTTCAAGACTGGCTATGTAACACCACACAACAGAGGATTCCATGAAAGGTCCGGTGACAAAATTGAAGCCACCAAACAAACATGATAATATATATTTTATTGCAGTAAATATATGTACAGTACTGCACACTTTCTCTTCTGGTCTTTCTGAGTGGCTGTCAGCTTCGTGCAGTGAATTTTGGGTGCCCAGAGAGCTCAGGTAGCGTCGGTAGTGTCTGATTTATATCGTTTATATCATCGTTAGCTATCTTGACTGCAGGAGGCTTACTTCTGCGCAAAACTCTCCATAGCAGAAGGCTCATTCTCTTCAGCAAAAGCAGGGTCCCAAAACTCACCGCTGACTACGAATCAATCTCAGTCAATGTCCAAGATCTGTCCTGAGCCACCCACTGCAGTCACTGCAGGTCTCATGGGCCAGCAGAACCTTTGCACTAGCAAGGGACAGGCGCTTCTCCGGTGATCCAATGCTTCTCCGGTAGACCGACATGTCGGGTTGTCCCAGGATAGAACGTACAGTGGTATATTGTACAGTATATAGTTATAAGTTATCTATGCATAAACCAATATGGTTAACATCAACACCAAAAATGTTTCTCAATAGCATTGGCAGGATGCCCGAACGAACATCAGTTGCAGCATGACTACCAGCGCATGACTACGACCGTTCCTCAGTTTGAAGGTCCGTTCCCATATTTGATGGACCAAACCAGAAAGAGGATACTCTTTTCTCCCTTGGCATGACTCTCGCCGGATTGGATCGCCAAACCAGGTGTTGCAGCCTGCACTGCCCCATCCCTCCTGCAACTCTTTTGGTCACTCCTGCGAAAGAAACAATAAATTAACATAAATTAACCCTAAAAGTAAACTTTTAAACTAAACCATCAACACACCGCTGTTGGAGAGAGAAAACCTATTCAAGACATCTTCAAGATGGAAAAGGATATCTATTAATTACAGTACATGCCAATGTGGTTGAACGAGTTCCATCTTCAAGAATCGAGTTCCATTTTTCGGTTCCATCTCAGCATGGTGTGGTTTTGTGGTCCAGACCCTGCACAGCAGCACCAGCAGCACTAGCAGCACCTATCGCCCGACCCGTCCGGGAGGTCTTCCAGCTGTCAACGCCTGAGAATCTCATAGAGTGCGCTCCTGCCACCGAACCGATGTTCTCCCAAAAAGGAACGGATGATGAAGAAGTCTTGCAGGAGGAACCCCAAAGAAGAGAAAGCCGAGAAAGCCAAAAAAGGGAGAAAGCCAAGGAGAACCTCAAAACGGATGAAGAACCC